CTATTTCTGGTATATTTTATTGACCACTGTGACAGGTCATTCACTCGAACATAAACCATTTATATGACGTCAGACAGACATATAAGCAAGACTAAGACATCAATTGAAAGCAATTTTGTTTTCAATCAAACAAGGAGAGTATGTGACGGCTATTAGCTTTTCCATTTACTAGTATAATATCTTAGTTTTGTTGTGGTGGACGCTGTCTACTAGACTAAGTACACAATCATGTTACTGTAAATAAATAAAAGGTAAACACCGTAAAGTTAGTTAATAATGTTATCTTCTAAAATATAAGACGGTGACACCTCATTACCCTGATTGCACGTCCAACCGCATTATAGGACACCCTGGAACTTCATCCTGAATAATATAAATATGAGATTTGGTAAATGTACATTAGCAAAAACAAAATTGCAGAAAACTATTTTAGTTACAATCTTATTAACAGCAAGAAACTTAATCATATAATCAGGATTACCCATTTACCTTCAAAAACATGTCCTTTTCAAGAATATTTAATATTCTTTTGGAAGGAATTTTTGTTTATCGTCAAATAAATTGCATCATTTCTTTTCAGATATTTTTTGTTGAGACTCCTCTAAAGCATTGATTAACAAAATTAACATTTTATCTCGGCCCAAATCTTTGTATAACAAATAACAGACCATCTCATAGGGCATAAACTTGGTACTGGAAACATGAAGCCCATTGATTGTACTGTCTTTAATTTACAATGCTCATTTAGAACAATCACTAGAATAAGCAAACAGAAAAATAAAATCCATAAAGAACACGGGACCAAACATCGGCTTTAGTAAGCTATCCTGTCTTTTATTTCATACAGTCTTTAATTAAAAATGTGCACATAGCATCCATTTCAGTGTTTAAACTTGATCCTATCTACGTCTTATGTATGAACTTTACTGAGTTGACTTTCTGATTTGATATTAAATCGGTAATTTGTAAAATAATTTGATAGAAACAGGGTTCGAAATATGTAAGTGAGATTTTTTTATCATTATATACGCTCATTAACATTTACAATAGTTAAAATTTACATATCGTATAGATTAAAAATGAGAATAAAGACCAACAAGGCACTGTAACGTTTACAGAACACAGCCACCGACACTATCCAGTCACACCAGCAAGGCACCGGACTAATAACAGGAAAGGAAGCTTTTACAGAAAAAAAGATAATTTATATGATTATGTTGAAATTAAAGCGAATACGAGTCTTATTATGTTATCCCTTTTTTCTGATCTTCTAAAGAAAATGTTCGTATAAAGGACATATTTGTATGTAGATTGTTTTTCCGTAATCATATATAACAAAACATCTCATCTTGCAAGCAAATTGATTCTTCAAATGAGAAAAGAATACCATTTGCATACATATTGAGGATTTAAGATATACCTTAAACACTGTCGCAAGACACTTGATATGAAGGCTAATGTATTGAAACGTGAAAAAGCCTGGTATATCTTTAATAATATTTGATCAAATGCTTTGTGCAGATCAACGTTCTTTGTTACATGTTCAAAGTTTTAAATACACTTTATATGACCCTTAAAATTAAAAACACACACAAACAAAACAAAAAAAAAACCATCAAAACAAAACAAACGAAAATACACAAAAATAAATCAAAAATTGAAATAAACGAAATGTTTGTATTGATGATCTGCTTCCATGGATATACTGAATCTAATATGCTTTCAATTTATAATAAATAACATTATCAAACATATGTTTGACATTTCTAAAGAATGTATGAATATCTGAGGATAAATAATAACTTAAAGTGAAAAAAAGACAATTATAATATTGAGATTTCATCTGATTTAAAGTATCACAAAAAGCAAAATAAGTTCCTGTAAACATGTTCTGGTTACATATCATTAATGGATATCATGTTAGAATTAATCTTGAATTGTGACTTAAAACTCGTAAAACATAATATCTTATTGATAATTTAATTTTTTGAAACAGTCTGACTTAAATTATTCCATGAAAATATGATCAGATAAAATGAAAACTTAAATATAAAGATCGCACAACAGGGCAAAATGGACAATGTTTCGGGTTCAATTTAAATACGCCTGTTTATAGACGGTATTGATAAGTCCAAGCTGCCCGTTCACACCACCTTACACCGACTTAAGCAGTATTAAGTAAATAAGGTATGATTTTGATGGGGTATCAGATGTTATAAAACTTAGACAAGAATTTACAGTCCAGGAAAAAATATTGACAGATTAACTTTTCATTACATTTCACTTTTTAATTTGTCCAAAAACTGATAAATTTACCAGTTGCATATAAACATACAGGCCTATTCCATTGAAGCTTTCTACACGCCCGTTTAACTCACAACGAGTGAAAAATGTCCATCGGTTAAAATGTTGTGAGCAACTTCCGTTCCTCGTTGTGAGCACCCATCTAAGACAGGTGACACGAATAACAAGGTGAGTTTTTCATAATTTTTGAAGATTACAGACATTTATGCGAAAATATCGCAATGCAGTTAGCTAGCGATGTGTTTTCCGAGAATGCACATGTAAAGATAGTGCCTGTTGGTCGACAATTTGATGGAAATACCGTGCGACGCAGTGACTATCGGGGTAGCTGGAAAACTGGAGACAACTTCTCTCCGGACCAAATTTAACATTGAAAAACGTCGATTTCTGGTGAAGTTTTGTGCATTCTAACCTAAAACAGATGCCCACAAGTCTTCAGCGTAAATTATTACCTGAAAGTCTTAATAGAACCGAAGATATACCTTTTTTGCTTTAATCCTCGTTGTGAGCACCATAACCTCGTTGTGAGCAAGACAAGCGAAGTGCTTGTCTGGGTTTAATATGTAATTCAAATGGTGAGAATACAATTTTCAATCTACTAAAAGCACTAAAAACGTTTTTGCACAATATTTTCTCTTGAAATAGTTCTACTTTTTCTACATAACTTGGCAACTCTATCAACATGAATGAAGCTCAGTAAAAATACATGTAATAGAAAGAGCACCGAAACACGAGGCTATCTGATTTGTACGAGGGGGCGTAGCCCCCGAGTATTAATCAGATTGCCGAGTGTTTTGGTGTTCTTTCTCTTTTGTATCATAGTCAAACATAAAAGCACGTTCCCTGTTGTCACAATATGAAACCCCGGCAAAAATGAACCAATGAACGAACATCTGAATATGACATTTCTGTCGCATTCCCTTTCTCTGCCGTCACAATATGTAAACCCCAGCAAAAATGAGCAAATCAATGGGCATGCTCTGGAGCACTTACAAACTTGCTTGCATGATTTCAGTTGGCCATATTCCCTAGCCATGAAAGATAACTCCCTGTTTCCCTGTCTAAAATTCCACCAAATTATTCCCCTTTCAAATGAACTCAAAGAAGGGACCTTTTAAAAAGACTTTGTTTTTATTTATTCGATTTTTTGTTCAGAAATGGACAATTTTTTCTTTACCCTTGTTTAATTTGCTTTCTATCTATATATGGTTCCTATGGTAAACATATGAGTTTTGATGGTAAACAAATGAATTTTCTGAACCGAAAGTAATCTAACACTCAGCGTTGCTGTCATCACATGTACACAAATACATTAAATCAGTAAGAATATTGAGATATTTGTTTGACTATCAGTTTCAAATGCAAAAATATTAATATGGAAAAACAACTATGTGCAGTTTATGTGTATTGTTTTAATGTGTTTGTCTGATATTTTAGTTGTAAAAGCCATGTACACTTAGTGTCGTTTCATAGCAACCGAGTTTAAAACGTGAGCGGTAACTGAACGAGATATGGCAAAGCGCATGCTCGCGCACTGACTTCCGCTCTATCGAAATACTGCATAAACGTATAGCGAAAGTTCGTAAGTGTGGAGTGCGGGTAACTAATATCCGCACTCCAGTTAACGCACTGTGCATGTATATGTATACGATTTAACCCTGACACATTTTCAACAGAAAGGTCTCCAAACTATGATACAAGCATGTTTATATCACACAGACTGTCCTCGAACACGAAGCATATGCAATTAAATAAATAAATTACATCCCCTTATTAGTTCACCACCATTTGCACGAACAACAAAACATTTGCAAAATCGTAGGTATATGAAGTTTTTTTTTGTTTACCATTACCTTTTACGCTAAGAATATACTTGTGTAGTGTTGAAAGTTACAACACACTAAATAAGCAATCCTCCGCGAAAAACAGTAGTCGCATAATAACAGATTCAAATAGTTCTCAGCGTCTGTTTGCTCTGTAGAGCATTTTTCATGATTTTAGTTGCACTGTCTTTCCTAGAAAGCTCATGACAGTCTGTGTTTGACATTTAAACAGCATTTTCATCATGAAATTGTGTCATTTTTAGAAATATTCATGACGTCTTAGGTGTTACACCACTAGTACAATTTTGGGATACCTGATTTTACAGTGTGTTTGACTGAAAATAATGTTTTGCAAGAGACATGACCCCAACTTTTCTTTTGATTTTTATTCATCACTGACAGTTTTTCTAGTAGTTCTAATCTTTTTCAGGTCAGGGCAAGTACAGATATGCCACCAATTGATAAAAAGAAGTGTGTTTGTCACATCTGCAACAAGTCGTTTGCTAGCCGGTACAATTTACAACGACACGCAACAGTGGTACATGGCGGTGACAAATCCTTCAAATGCAAAGAGGCAGGCTGTAATAATACATTTGCTTACAATCGTGATTTGTTAGTTCACAAAACCAAATGCCATGGAGATGGTCAAACGCTTAAATGTAAGTCGTGTGACAAGGTTTTCATGTACAGAAGTAGTTGGAAACGACACCGACAGAGTTGCTCAGCAACCGAGAAAAGTAAAGTAAAATGTAGTGCTTGTGGCAAATTGTTTAAGACTTCAGATTCTTTACGACACCACCTGAAATATGTTCATGAGAAAAAGAATCTCAGAGGGGTACAATGTGACCTTTGCGGCAGACTTTTCAACAGGCCACAAGCGTTGGGAAGGCACATGAATGGTAAATTCCATAAAGGAGACAAATGACTGCATTGATCAAGCGTGCTGTGAATGTGAAGAATACGGTCAAGGACAAGTGTAGTAGTGCCCGGTCCATTTGCCACATGTTTATGACTTAGCCGGAACTCTTGAATGTGAATTTGCTGTAGTAAAACATTGGTATCAACCAAATGTTCATACTCATACTGAAATAGTTTTTGTTTTGAAGTATTACTAGATAATTTATTGTATATGATGTTAAATGTTTCTTAACGATTTAAAGGTTGTATACCATGCAAAATCGGGTAAAATATATTTAACAGGGTATTCTAATGTTCATGATATGATAATTTACAGAGACAATTTAGACACAAATTTTACATAGATAAGGCATCATCTACAATTCTTCTTCGCCAACATATGATACAGTTGCTTAAAGTTTTCACAGGAGTCTGCAATGTAAAGGCAGTAGAGTTTTACTGATAAGACATATATATTTTGTGTTATATTTGTTTTTAGATTTGTTGTTATTACAAGCGTTTTATACCTGCATACATTCAGATTTTTTTTCAGATATGATTCTGCATCAAATACAACCTTTACACACAAGTTTGCATGTATTTTATGTTTTGTATTCAAGTATAATATGTTTTACTCATGAAACAACTCTCCTCAGAGTTTAGAAGCATAATGCAATCTAGCATTAATACTGTCTTTCATTGTAAACATCATATGTGTATTTCATACCACTGCCGTTTTGCTGATCTAAAAGCAAACACATCGTTGTGAGAATATATGTGTTTTTTTATCTAAAAATGATACAGGACAGGATCTTCGAAATTCAGTCCGTGTCAAAATCCCAATGGTTATTGTTTTAGAAAACATCAGCAGTCTCTTTAACCCAAAACATATTCTTTCTGGTGACGTACAGTTCCATTTTATGCCACAATGATTTATATGATGTGGTGATTTATGCTGTGATTCATAATACAAAATGTTAAAAAATATTAATTGTAGCGGTTTTCATCTCACATGAGCACTTTGATCATGGTGAGCTTTTGTGACCGTCTGATGTCCGTCGTCCGTCTGTCCATCAACATTGATCAAGGTCACCATGACCTTTAACATAAAAAACCTAATAACTTGCTGACACTTGAGTGTAGGCAGATCAAACTTTGTGGGAAGTTTTCCTTGGACCAGTTGAGTCCTAGGCCAAAGCTCAAGGTCACCATGACCATTTATACAAAAATTCACAACTTTGCAATGCTCGGACCTAGGAGCCTCAAACTTGGTTTAGGGATTGGCGCTTAGTTATGCATGGCCCTAAGTTGAAGGTCAAGGTCATTGTTACAAACAACAAATATGTATTATGATGATGCTATTGTGGTCTGTCATATGAACTTAACATATCATATAGAGCAATGGTACTCACTTGAGCGATATAAGGCCATCATGACCCTATTGCGTTATGTTGTACTGTTTGATTAGCAGACTAGCCAGACTTGAACATATTTTATTTGCAATATTTTTAATGTTGTTATACTGAAAGTTCTAATGTATATGCTGTGATGATTTATTCTGTGATTCGTTTTGTTCAAACACAATCATTTTATAATTATATTTGTTCTAATGAAAGTATGGTTCCCAGTTTTATTGTTGTTATACTAAAAGTTCCAATGTATATTCTGTGATGATTTATTCTGTGATTCGTTTTGTTCAAATACAATCATTTTATAATTATATTTGTTCTAATGAAAGTATGGCTGTTTTGTTATATCTCCCAGTTTTATTGCTTTCAGAAGATGTATCGAAAGTGCCATATTGAGAAATAGAAAATCAAATCAGATTCATGAAATATTAATAAATTTTTTTATACAAGTATGTCAACTTTGTAAGGAAGTGTACTTGGTAAAAGGCATCTTTTATGTACGTACAATTTATTGCCATCTTAACATGAAGCATTAAATATTATCATGGTAATAGTTTAAATCAAATCTTTCATAAATCTACCAAAGATATAGACATTCAAGTCAAAAGTTCAGCATTATGAAAGATTACAATATGTGTCCAATATCGGTCAATCTACATTATAATATAACTAAGTATCCATATGCGACTGTTACCAGTGTATCAGAGTTACAATGTGTTACCGCCTCAAGTTTTGGCCCTTTCAGTAACAATAGAAAGAACAAACATTTCGAGTCCTAGTAAATGTTACTTCACTTATACTAATTGAATTCCACCCCAATACGTTTGGACGTTAAAATTTTCGATTCATCAATTTTATATCCGTATCGTGCCCGAACTGGTTGGTCTCCCCGGAGGGGGTCGTTTACTTCCGAGAACGTGAGAGGTTTTTTTATTCGTCGTCTATGTCCTCTGACTCTTGCCTCTGTATCAAAGAAGTGATCTCTGAAAAAATAAGTATGTTTCTATTGATAATGTGTCTAGATATCATTCAGTCATATTGAAGCCGGCTATAATATAATTGCTCGTAGAGTTCTTGAGCCAGGCACACAGGCATTAATTTGAGAGTTTAAATACTGTTCTAAGTTTTGACTGATATGAAAATTAGAATAACCATTCCACATTAACATTTGTTTTTAATTACGTTTACTCTGAATTCCTGTAAGGAATTGTGGAAATAATTAGTGCAAAATATAAGCTGTTTTACTTACTTTGGGATAATACACCGAATGAAGCCATCCTTCCTACATGAGCATGTCGTAACAGTTTGAGTTTCTCTATTTTCACCAGTAGCAGAAACTATCGGCACTGGATATACTTTATCACGTTTTGTGTTGATGAAGAACGACCTAAAATTTGAAAGTGAAACACATGTAATAACCCACCATATTCATGTACTTGAAAATTAAGCTGAATTATTTTGACACGTCTTTCATTCATATAGCAAGACAAAACGTCTCGCACTAGGATTCGAATCCATAGGAAAAAGGTTCCATGAATTACAATTCACCGACTCTAAACCTTCCATCACCGAAATGCTTACAGTTTATGAAAAGGACTATTTGTGTGGACATCCCCTCCCCCATAAAGCATGTCACATGTAAACAATATGAAAGATCAATCTCTTGCATAATTGTTACCATTTTAAACGAACTATATATACATGTAATTTTAAAATCCTTCCTACTTTTTTAACAAAAATCTTAAATGATGCATTCAGATATGTGAAACATGCCGATAGTTCCAGTCCCCTATTTGACACCCTTTAAAGTATTAAGTCCAATTTCCAAAACACCAACACATGAATATGCTTAAAAAGTTCCAAATCAATGAAATGGAGCTAAAGTGTTTCAAACAGTTTCTGTATTTCTGAATAAGTTAAAGTAGATTTTAAATACCTGTCGTCTTTCATTTTCATTGCAGTAATGGCTGTAAAGTCAGATATGTGCTTCTCTATCCCATCGGCTGTAAGAACGCCCTGGCCCCATGGATCCATCTCCTGCATAGTAGAGAAGAAGCTTTCCGAACACAGAGTATTTGGTGCACGAACACAATATGTGCCATTTTTAGCTAATGCATATAAATAAAGTTTGGCCTCAGAGCTAGATCGTAAACCTTCGTATAAAATAATTGACAATCCTTTTATAGAAGCACCATATGGCGGAAATTCACCAAAATCAACCCCTTTGTCTAGCCAGTTTATAAGTTTCAACCTTTTTTCACATCTTTCAATAGCAGGTATGCCAGGTGTGTCGTCAGCTTCATACAGACCTTCTCGGATAACCTTGCAAAACGTGGCCTCTTCCAGGTTACCATTTTCATTCATGCACTTTTCCACATCATCACTGACCATATTTCTGGCAAATCTTTCCTTCATCTGGTCAGCTATCTTTCCTTCGGGCGAGACTTCTATAAGTAAAGGATTTAGGATCTCTGGTTTCATACGCGATACATTATCCCAAGCCTTCTTTGAAACGCCACTAACTTTATTTAAACAAATCGCTTTTCTCAAATTGCTGCCCAAATGTGTTTTGTCATACACGAAAACTTCAAAATCTCCATCTTCACTCTTGTCTGGCACGTAGTATGGACTCAAAGATTGTGACACACCAATAATATCAATAGTTTGTTTAACACGTGCATTTTCTTTCCATTCTCTCAATTTATCCGGCCACAAGAAGTTTGCTAATGCAATGTTTAGTACTCTCTTTGGGTATGCCTTCTTCATAATAACACGCTGGGCTAATTGTTTCAACGGCGGAACATTTCTTTTCTTTGCGCTGACATTCTGAACAATCTGTGATCCGTCACCAACTTGCTTTGAAATGCTGTTAACAAGTTGATATTTTAGAACTCCCGATACTTTTATATGCAACTTCTTATCAGCATGTCGCCTGTTCAAACATTTAGCTATCTCAGTCAGCTCCTTCACTGTCAGCTTACTCAATGAATCAGCGGACTGGAAAATATCTGCAATAGTACTTTGTGAAATGTCTGTCCATTTTGCTGAATTTACTCGCTTTAGTCCCTCAAAAATTTCATTTACGTTTATTTGCACTCCGTCTTGGTGAGTTTCTGTTTCATCTGGTGTATTCATCGGTGCCTCTGGTTCTTCCGTTTCTTCCACTTCCTCTGAGACTGTGACTGTGTTATCATCTTGCTCATTTTCGATAGGCTTTATCTCAGATTCTTCTCTGATCCGTTTTGCATTATGTATCACCCATCCTTTGCTTGGTGTCTTTATTCTTTTCATGGTCCCACCGTCTGTTTGAAGGGTATTGTTTTCTAAGATTTCATGTGTCGGAACAACAGGTTTACACTTCTGTAGAAATACTTGTATTATCTGAGATTTGGAGAACTTGCATACATCTTTCCATACGTCTTTGCTAAGTTGATGTTGTGTTAATGGTTTGTTATCTCTGCCTCGAACCATTATCGTGTTAAATTCTCCGTCAGCTGCAGTAACAATGACATCTAATCCCTCATCCCTGCAGGCGGCTTTACATTTTTCATTGATTTTCCTAGTGGTCTCCATGCTTAAACTGTATCCCCGGTAAAAATAAAGAACCGGTATAGCGTGAGGTTGTTCCTCTTTCCAGTATCTATCTAAGTCTGCTAACAGATATACCACAACCTGCGTACCCATTAACCGTTGAAGTTCATAGGATTCGCCTATAACATCTTTACCTAACAGTAAAGCTCGTTGCAGATCGTCATATGTAAATGATTCATCTGGACTTTTCGGCTCAGATTGAGTTTCATATGGTGAAGCCGTATCGTCAGTAATCAATAATGAAGCATTTTCAAACCGGCCTTGTACCGACGGAAATTCACCAAGGAAAATACAGTTTTCGGTGTGTTTTGAAACAGCCTCCTTTATTGTTTTGGATGTATCTGATACCCTTGAAGGCCTTTTTGGATTATCAGTGTGATATACACTTTCAATCTCCTGATCGATATCTCGACACAAGTCCTCACTGAATGGAACCTGTAAGCAAATAATATGTGATAAAGGTCGGTAAATAAAATATCGAAAAGTGTATCGCCGTATAACAAATTGCATAGTCAAACGTAAGGCAGGTCCGGATCCGTAGTGTAGGGGATAGAGTCGTGAACTTGCAATCGCTGAAACCTCTCACTGATGGAGTGTCGTAGGTTCGAGCCCTGCTAGCAACTAGGATTTTTCATGTGAGAAAGTAGGCAGTTGCCTACGGACTTTGAGGTCTAGTACTGGTATTTCCCAGGAACGATGGTTAGGTGAACTGCCCGCCTGATATAACTGACATAATGTTGAAAACGGGCGTAAAACCCAACAAAACAAAAAAAGTCAGGTGGAAGTTGATCAATACAGGTAATACAAGAATGCATCAATTAATATCAGGGTAGGTATTTGTACAAACTGTCACGTTCAGTCGTTTTATTTCAAAATACAAAATGTTCTGCAGATATTGTTTCAGAAAAACAAACAACATCGTATTGTTATTTTAAATGCTTATATGATAAGTCGTTTCCCTGCAAATGTGAAATAATTATGTAAAGACGTACTTTGAATAGTGAGCAAGAATTGTCTGTCCAGCATAAATATAGTGTCGCTTCTGTCTTTAATGCTCTGGCTTCGTACAATGTCTGCGTTACATATCGAACAGGCACGGCTTCGTGCAACGTCGGAACATGGGATTTCAATACAGGAGATTTTCCCTCGAAGGCGTACATAGGTTTGCCGTCACCAGACCTCACACTACCATCTGGTGATACTAATACATTTCCTTCCCTGTAATAACCTTCTTCGTAAAATACAGAATCTGGATGCAAGAATGGTAGAATAATGCCGCACATAGTTGCAAGGTGATGAATCTCAGATTGTGTTCCATGATCCATAGCCCTTTGTTGTGCTAAACTTATTTCCTGTGGTTCAACGCCATTTACTTTGTGATCAAAGTGTTTCTGTTGGCGCTTCAAACCATCTAATCCGATGGCCTGGTATATCGTACTACCAGTTACCTTCATAGCCTCTCTATCCTTAAACCATTTTGGGGAGCGTTGTTTAATTATCGACGTGTCTGACTGGTCACCGTGTGGCAGCTTCTCAACAGGCTTCAGAATTCTCAAATTACGTTGACAGTTTAGAGTAACAACTGGCCCATTCGCAAATAAATGTCCAACCTTATTTAAATAGGCACCGGTCTTGCATATTTCTTTCAGAATTCTTAAGCACTTATCGACACAGTTATCAATCTTCCATATAAGTGTCATGTTCAGATCAATTGAATAGCAGTATTTAGATTTTCGCCATTCAACACCAGCCAGTTCTTTAAGCTTGTTTAGTGAATATGCCTTCTTAACTCGCAATTTACGCAACTCTTTCAATACAGTAGAGAACAATAGAATCAAACTTAGCAGTGTTGTAAAAACTGTGTTTTTGTCTTTCTCTGGTGTTTCGGACACAGTGTTACTCGAGTCTTGGACATGGGTAATCGTGTCAATAGCATTGTTGATTATAATGTTTTTCCTTTCATTTTCTTCTTGTTTATCTTTCAGTGTCTGTCCGGGTTCAAAACCAAGGAGATCAACATCGGCACTTCTTTTCATTTTCTTACCATCAAACATAATGACATAAGATTTATGGGTTGCATTTGTGTCTCTCTGTGCCTTGTATGTGATCATTTCTTGCATCACTCCCGGTTTGAATTTCACTGGAAGTTCTTCACCCATTGGCTTGAAGTTTAGAAGAACGGGTAAGGTAGGACAGGCAAAGTTAATCCTTGAATTTTCCGGGTTGAAAGCATCGCCACCTTTGATCATTTCTCCTTCATTTCTCAAGCCACTCATGTACCGTAGGAAACGCCCACCGAATAATTTTCGTCCAACCCAGAAGAATTCTAGACATTCTGGAGAATATCGCATACCGCGCGTGTCTGTTTCAGAAAACCATCTCACGAGATCACAAAACATCAGGAATGAAATATTTTTCATAGGAAACTTGTTTTCTGATACTAATTGAAAAAAATTGACAAGTACATCACTTTTGTCTTGTTTTTTGAATTCTTGGATAACAGCAGGCAATAAATTTGCAAGTTTGGATTCCTCGCTGTTCAGACCTTGAAATTCATCATCTGTTAGGTGAAATTCTGTACCCAAATCGTCCACAATTTCTTGAGGTATTTCAGCATTTAAATCGTCCACTATTTCTTGAGGCATCTTGAATCCAACAGGCAATGTTTTATGAAAATAGTAAGAATAGTCAAATTCTTTGTTGAATTCGAATTCATCTTCATTTTCAATATTTGTACATTCAAGTTCTTGAAGCAGTCTCTCTGTCGATGTGTTACCAGATTTGATATTTTCTTTTAAATTGTCAGTGTCAATTTTACTTTTATTGTACTGTTTTTGTGGAGAAAGCATTTTGAAAGGTAATTTCAGCGGACTAACTGTAACCACATCTTTTTCAGTGTCTACCAGGAAATGTATTCGTTTCTGCGATGACTTACATGGCGTTGATAGGTGTTTTCTTTTCTTGTGGGGGGAAGTTTTCATGTCTGGAGATTTCATCAAATTGATAGTTTTGAATCGTTTACATATTGGCGATGGCCTTGGTGAATATATTGACCGTTTCCTTCGTTCAAGGTATGAAGTTCGTTTCACACTTGCATACTTGATGCCTCGCTTCGGTCTCCCCTTGAACGACCCCATGTCCAATCACTGAAAAGAAAAGTAGATCTATTGAAAATTATTCTTCATATTCACAAGTCATCAGATTAACAGAAGAACTAATCAGGGGAGGTAAATCATGTATTTTATTTCGTATACTATAGTGTGGCACGAGTGAACATCACGGACAGATTATGAATATTTCAACAATTTCACAATTTGTGTGATACACACATACATGTGTTTATCCTGAGCTGAAGACTGACCAAGGTATGTAGAACAAGAATTGTCACGGTAAGTTGACAATGTCCCCAAAGTGGTGCTTTGTCCTTTGATTTATGGACGAGATAGATTATTTGTTTTTGGACAATTAGATCTTCAATGTGAAGGTCATTCAATGTCAAGGTGAAATAAATATAGGTCAGTTGGAAGGTCCTGTCCAAAGGGGCATTGTGTCCAAATATGAATTAATTCCACGTTATGACCAATGTTAAAATTTTTGGATGTTCTAGAAGGTCATTCAGGGGTCAAGGTAAAAAAAATAGATCAGTTTGAAGGTCTTGTCTAAACGGGTGTTGTGTCCAAATATGAGTAGAATCCGTATACTAATAAGGAAGTTATGACCAATTTTTAAGTTTTTGGACAATTTAACCTTCAAAGTGAAGGTCATTCAGGGGTCAAGGTCAAAAGAATATATGTCAATTGGAAAGCCTTGTCCAAGGAGGTGTTGTGCCTAAATATGAATTAAATTGATTTACTAATAAGGACATTATGGCCAATCTTAAATGTTTTTGGACATTTTGACCTTCAAGGTAAATGCCATTCAGGGGTCAAGATAAAATATACAGGTCCGTAGGAAGGTCTTGTGCTAAGGGATGTTGTGTTCAAATATGAATCAAATCCGTTTACTAATAAGGAAGTTATGGCCAATGTTAAAGTTTTCGGACGGATTGACGGACGGACAGTTCAAAACTAATATGCCTCCCTTCGGGGTATGCACAACGTCTTGCAAAGAAATGTTGCTGTGCAAAAACGTTTTAATTGCTTTGGTAGATTGAAAATTATATTTTCACCATCTGAATAACATATTAAAACCAGACACGCACTGCGCTTGTCTTGCTCACAACGAGGTTATGGTGCTCACAACGAGGATTAAAGCAAAAAAGGGTATATCTTCGTTTCTATGAAGACTTTCAGGTAATAATTTACGCTGAAGACTTGTGGGCATCTGTGTTAGGTAAGAATGCACAAAACTTCACCAGAATCGACGTTTTCAATGTTAAATTTGGTCCGAAGAGAAGTTGTCTCCAGTTTTCCAGCTACCCCGAGTGACTGCGTCGCACGGTATTTCCATCAAATTGTCGACCAACAGGCAATATCTTTACATGTGCATACTCGGAAAACACATCGCTAGCTAACTGCATTGCAATATTTTCACATAAATGTCTGTAAGCTTCAAAAATTATGAAAAACTCACCTTGTTATTCGTGTCACCTGTCTTAGATGGGTGCTAACAACGAGGAACGGAAGTTGCTCACAACATTTTAACCGAAAGACATTTTTCACTCGTTGTGAGTTAAACGGGCGTGTTTCTAATTGGCTTAGAATTACACAGTTCATTTTGTTTATGTTCTGCTGCCTTGATGACAAATCATGTTTATGGAACATTTTTCAGCTGTTTGAACAACTTTAACTGCTGCAGTCCGTAAACAGATTCTCTCTTTTGAATTTTATTCAATTGTCAACTAAAAAATCCAAAACTCACATCTTAACAAGCATAGCAACCAGGATAGACTTTGATAATCTTAACAGGGAAACAGTTATTAACAAATTGCATATTTTCACTTTTAATATCAACTTTGAAGGTTTTACATGGAAACTGCATCGTATCTGTCGGCAATTTGGTGCACTGTCAAACTTTAGACGCTTATTTTTGATTATAACTAATCTAAAATCGTTGTTATGTTTGCAGTCATTTAGTATTCTTGGTGTCAGACAAATCAATTAGCAAGATTGATGTTACAATTCCATTGGGATTTGTAAACGATCTTTTGAAATATTATTGTTGAGAATAGTCTGCACTATCAAGACAGCGCTGTCTGTATTTTCAAGAATAATTTTGAATACTTGTTGTGTAAGATGAAGGTTAAGAATACTTGCTTTCTTTAGGAAAAATAACAATATTTTTTCTGTTGAAGTGCAAAAAGCAACATTTTTGGTTGTTGATTTTGATTCTTATTAAATATAAAATAAAAATAGAAACTTCACAAAGTGAACATGATTATATTTTATTTATAGTATCATTTTCAGAGAAATGATAATAATGTTTTATCATCTTGCCCGACAGAAGAATTTAAATGCTAGCATTTATTAGATTCTATGTTGGATTAATGTGACATCTGGTTGCTATATTGACTGTTTGGACGAACATAAAGCCAAACAAATGATTTCAAAAAATGCAACATGGATGCATCAAATAGAAACTGTTTGGTGTTTTATTTCATTTTTTGGTAAGGTTTTACCTATCACCAACAGAGTAAAGGTCATGCGTTTTTTTCAGCTTTACTACTAGAGGAAGACTTCAAGTAACCCACCACACATTATTTCAGTCACGAGCGAGCACCTGTGTGTGACAACCGACGTTCCGTAAGCTATCTGAATTTCTTCCTCACCTGGACTCGAACCTACGGCGGTGGAAGCAAATGGCCTGACGTCATTGCACTCTCTTATTAATCTTCATCCGCAAAGCGGGGAGGGGATAATTTGAATGTCCTCTGTCCGTCCGTCTGTAAAACTTTTGTGTCCATCCCATAACTTTTAAACCTCTGAAATATTTTTATAAAACTTGGCACAAGTGATCACCATTATGAGACGATGCGCAGAGCGCAATTATTGGGTACTACCCCAAGGTCAAGATCACACTGAAAGGTCAAGTGTCAGAAAGTCTACTTAGCGTGCCAGTTTCATATTTCTCAACCGTTAAAACATTTTGGTTGTTACCACCAACATAACACCATATGCACAGCACAACAGTCAAGCCTCAAGGCAAGGGTCACACTCAAAGGCCCAATGTAAAACATCAATTTATTATGCCCACTTTATAACTTATTGACAATTCAAAGGTATTTAAATTACTTGGCACATATGATCCCCACCATGACACAATCTTCAGAGCATGACATTAAGGTTGCTATCCCAAAGTTACATCCAGGTTGCTACCCTCAAGGTCAAGGTTATATGTTCTCCGTAACTGTTTGACTTTATTGATGATTTTAATTAACTTGACACAAATAATCAACATTATTAGACATATGATTTGCATGGCACAGCATCAAAGTCATGGTTGGGTAAAGATCAAGAAGTACACACCATGTCCGCTGTGGAAGGGGATTTAGCTGTCATTCAGACTGTTATGTTGTTCTTTGTTGTCATGGTTCTTTCAACAACATTTATTAAAATAATATAAATATTCAACCCAACAACATGAATTCACCGCACTCACTTCATCTTAAACTTATATAATGGTCCTTCTGTTTGCTTTATTGCAATAATCTCAAACCAGTTTCACTGGTATCGCCTGGAAGACGATACGTCAATATTGTCTGGTCTAGAATCAAGTCGGGTAATTTACTGTCTATTTCTTCCGAATCAGATGTAAATGCAATTGTTACGGTTGAGCTCAAAGCTACAATAGATCAATTTTTATACAGTAAAATGTCACATGTTCCTATCATTATTATATTACACATAAACTCCCATTTTTTGAAAAACTTCTGTCTCGTATAGTCATCTTAGGGGTTATTTAGGTGTACGTTGCTTTATAATTAGTTTTTGTTTATGTCCAAAGGCAAGTTTTATTCAGTATTAAGGTAGTGCACCCCTAATGGGCACTTTAAGGAATTGTAAATTTGACAACATAGGACAGTTATATGCCTTAAATGTCATCTGTATGCAAAATTTAAACAAAATTTACCGTGTGGTTTATGAGTTATGAACATTTTTATGAACTAAAACTTTGCCATTAGAAGGGATTTGTTCAGAAATGAGGAAACTCTAAATAATCTATAATATCATCATTATGAAAAAGGTTTTCCTTTTGCTCATTGTTAAGAAATAAACAATGACATATAGGTAACAAATTAAACAAGCAAAATGATTGTTTTTAAACGAAATGTGTTTAATATGTATAAAAATGTAACCCTACCCCACCCACTTTTAACACTAATTTGATCATTTCCCTATGTAAAAAGCCTTATTTAAAATATCCCTAAAATTTTCCAAAATGAGGGGCTATTTTCAAAGTTTGCCTAAATTTTCTTTAATGTATATTGTTGGTTTTGCAAAACATAAAATTCTTTTACCGTTTAGTTTTTATTTTATGAAACTTTGAAAATATCTGGTATCATATTTTCTATTAAATTTGGCATTATTTAGTAAATAAATACCTACAATAATTATATAATTAAAATAAACACTTTTTTCTTCCATATGGAGTCTGAGAGATTAATAAAAATGTTAAAAAGAAAAAAAAGAAAGAAAAAAAATTGCCCCTTCTGGGGTTTGAACCCACGCCCCCTCAGTTTCAATACACTTTACAGTGATTTAAGCCTATTTGAATACTCTTCAAAGTGGAGACAGTGCATTAGGGGTGTACTACCTTAATACCAAAGTTACAGTTACCATCATTGTATCATTTACAATGGAACGGAACTCGTTTAGAAAAATGATTATGATCGCAATATAGACATCTTTTAACATAGCATAATTGAAAATGATAATTACAATTATATTGTTCCCTTCCTATCATTTTTATATTAAGACATTTTGTTAAGGTCAGGTCAAGCAAAAAATGATTTTCAGACGTTAAACGTAATATTTCGTTAAGAGGTTTTTTAATGTTAATAAGGTGTTTACCTAGTATATGAAATTTGCTTGGTATGGAGTAGCTTTATTTATTATTTCCGCCAACGAAAACTAACGAAAGTAATAACATGTATTTGCTGAAACACTCATAGACGTTGGTTCGTGGCATTTCAACAGATTCAAAATAAAGTTTAAAATTAACCGCCGACGAAATATATTTTTTCTAGGCAAATATTATCTTAAGATTATGAAATAAGCAACCAGAAAGGGTGGTATGTAATTAGCACATCCCCAAACGGAAACCAACAACATTTGTCAACAAGCCAAACTAAGAGCCCGACAGGCCACCACAAAGAGAGCAAAAAAAACGGACAATAAAGCATTCTACGCATCTAGAAAAATGTGCTGAAACACTCATAGACGTTGGTTCGTGGCATTTCAACATATTTAAAATAAAGTTTAAAATTAGCCTCCGACAAAATATATTTTTTTCTAGGAAAATATTATCTTAAGATTATGAAGTAAGCAACCAGGAAGGGCGGAATGTAATTAGCACATCCCCAAACGGAAACTAACAATATTTGTCCACAAGCCAAGCTTAGAGCCCGACAACAAAAACAAAGAGAGCAAAAAATGGACAAAAAGCAGTCTTGACGTTAGATATATGTTTTCTGCTAAACTATTAAAGAAAACGTCTGATGAAAATAAATGTCATATTTATATGCAAATGTTTATAAGTCTGTAAGCATATGCAAGAACGACATCAGGCCAGCAAAATTGTTTCTTTAGATGGAAATTAACCAATATTTGCATACATATTGGAGATCTTAGTAATTCCTAAAATCAATTGAAAACGCTGACATTATTTAGTTGTTAGTAAGACAGAACTCTATATGTTTTTGCTAGATTTCAATATATGTCATTGATATTTGTGTAATACATTCGAAAGTTAAACAAATATAGACCGAACACGTTTTTTGTTTACTTACAGCGGCAACTGGAATACAGAAAGCATTCTTTGTATTAATTTCCAATCATTAAGGCGTACACAACACTTCTTTTTTTTCTGTAGTATTTGAGTATAATTTGAAAAATTCGTATTCAAAGAGTTTTTCTTATTTAAAAGCAGATGACGTATTATAAATTTAGAAGTTATCCTAATTATTAGCAGTATATTATTTTATAGGGAGTGTTTTTTTATGTTATTGAAAATCCTTTTTATAAAAATGTTATCAATAAGCTAGAAATTTGCAATGTGTTTTGTGTCTGCTTCAAACAGCCTAAAATTATAAAGATATAAACGAAGGTATCTTGATCGTGGTCGAAACAAAATAATATGATAAAAAGTGATAAATAAGATTTCAGTGCACTGACAAATTATTTCTATTGTAAGAAAACAGGCTAATTATTATTCAAATCAAAGTTTTTTAATTATGGGTTTTATCGTAACAACATGATACGTACATCGAGGATAACCTTATCTATGTTTCCATGGAACACCATCCCAATCAAAAGGTTATTGAAATATGAGGTGGTTGAATG